CATCTAATATTTATGTTAATTTATATGTTGCATAGCGTGTTTATTATATAATTTTGAAAAAAAAAATAGATGGATTAAGCAATATGTCTATATTAACGTTTTATACACAATGCGCCTCAGAGTGATTATTATTGTGTTATTATTGTAATTATTAATATGGCATCTTCAAGACCAGTAACACACTCTTAATAATTTTAATGTGTACCTGCATGCCAGCACAGGTGCAAGATGTAGAGTTTAAAGCAGTTAAGTTCATATTTTATTCATTCTAGAGTGTATGTGTGTGTAATACCTGTTGGTTCATGAGACAGAGAGACAAGCAGACAGAAAGACAGACACACAGGTAGACAGAAAGACACACACACAGGTAGACAGAAAGACAGACAGAGACAGATACAGACAGATATACAGGCAGACAGATACAGACAGATTTATGTGCAACAGTGAAAACAAATAGAGTTCGAGAGTAAGAGCCTTTCTTGCCTTCTTGCCACAATCTCCAGTGCAAAATTCAGACTTCCTCTTAGAGACCATGGTGAAATTTGCTGTCCGGTTAGTACAGTTATTACAGTATGTATGATGCTGCTAATAGGGCAGGATAACTCAAACTGATGCTGCCTGCATGGCGCATTGCTGCCGTGAGTATTTTCAAATATTGTACAGTGGCATTTATCAGCCGGCCCAGCCCAGCTGCTAGATGTACGGTCGTAAGTCAAGTGGACGTATGCCGAGCAGGTCATAAGTCGGATGGTAGGTGTAATTGTATAAATAATGTTAACCTATATATGACTGTTTATTAGAATGGCCACTTGGACACATATTGGATGGTGACGTCATTTGTTTACTCTTGAAAATTGCCAAAGAATCGAACATATCTTCTACTTTGAATTCAATTTCAAGGTACTTTTCATCATGAAACCAATCAAAATCATATCTGTTTCTGTAATATATCTTCCATTCTATCAAATGAGACCAAAAAAACGAGAATACAACCATAAAAACCATACGAAAATATACCGATGAGGGACAGCTAATGGCTGAGAAGTGAACTCCATTATTTCTGGTCCGATTTATTTCAATTTTGGTGTACATTAAGAAGTATCTTTCCATCGTACATTGCCCAAGTTTCAATAAGATAGCCCAACAAACAACTGAGATCCAATTCCCTAGATCAAGAGGAAGAGCCCCTCGCCAGCATCAACAAACCTCCCTTGAGGCCCGCTCACATCTGGAAGCAAAAAATTGACCGAGTTACTGCTCATACAGTGGACCCTCCATTTTTGTCGATCTACATTATCACCAATTTCAGTTTTGGCTGATTGATTGTACGGAACCTGTCCAGTGCCCAGCACGCAGACAAAGCCGCCTCCCACATGCATTCTCAGCCAGTGTAGCATTGTTTCTCGGTGAGTGAACGTATCCTGCCAGGTCATACGAAACATTTCGTAATAATCCATTGTTTTTGCCACTTGTTTATTGTGTGTGACTGCTGAATAAGCCACCATGGGCCCAAAGAAAGCTTCTAGTGCCAGCCATTTGGTAAAGAATATGAGAAACACAGTATAATTCAAGAAAAAGTTTGTAGAAAAATACAAAAGTGGTGGTGGTAGCGATGATGGTAGAGGGTGGTAGTGGTTGTGATGGTGGTAGAGGGTACCTTCTTCAGTGATTCAGCAATTTTACTAACTCCTCCAGTGTCGTTCGAGTTAGGGCTACAGAAAACACCGCCGCCTCAGCTGTAGCCTTCACCAACATTATGTATGGCTTATGCTCACAGTGGCCCTTATACACCCAACAACAACAGAACACCTGTCATTACAAACATAATGACTTATTGTATTCATTCTAGAGTATATGTCATGTTTCTATGTTATTAATATTGTTTATTATGTGATATTAGTTGAATTGTGATAGATAAGCCGTAGAGTTCATATTAGTGTCATATTCTCCAACAATAAACTCGCCTCTCTCTCCTCTCCGCCCGGTCTACCATACACCAACAAGTCTTTTCAATAAAGGTATGTGTGATGTTAAATGTTTATTTATACATTTTATTAGTGCTTTATATTTAGCATTCTTTTCTGCATGTAAATCTATATTTATGCTAGGGAAGTGACCCCCGATAAGGACTTAGTACCTAGAGTCCATATGGAGGGGGATTAACCTTCCAAACAATAACCTCTCTTTCCCTCTCCTTTCCTCCCTGTCTTCCATCCATTAACAACAGCCTTCAATAAAGGTAAGTGTCATTGTAACGTTCATTCTTTTGTGCATACAAATCTATCTTTAAAGTAAAAAAAAAATTTTTGTCGATACTTCTGGGTGTCTGGAATGGATTAATTCCATTTACATTACTATTTCTTATGGGGAAAATTGTTTCGGTTTTGGCCAATTTCGGTTTTGGCTGATGGCTCTGGAATGGATTAAACATGAAAACCGAGGTTCCACTGTACAGTGAGCCCCCTACTTATGATATTAATCCATTCCTGAGAGCCCATCGTAAGGCGAAATGATTGTAGGTCGAATTAATATTCCCCATAAGAAATAATGACAATCAAATTAATCCATTCCAGACACCCCAAAGTATGAAAAAAAATATTTTTACCACATGAAATATACATTTTCCTACAAAAAAGAAGAAGACATGCGCAATATACTGTACTAAATAAATAATAAATGACACTTACCTTTGTTGAAGATCTGGTGATGAGTGATGGGATGGGAGGAGGGGAGATGATGGAGGTTATTATTTTTTGGAAGGGGAATCCCCTTCCATTAGGACTTTAGGTAGCAAGTCCTTTTCTGGGGTTACTTCCCTTTTTCTTTTAATGCCACTGGGAACAACTTGACAGTCACTGGACCTCTGTCGCACCAAAAATCTGTCCATAGAGCTCTCTACCTCTCGTTCCTTTCAGATTTTTTTAAAGTGGTTCACAATATTGTCATTGTAAAAGTCCCCAGCACAGCTTGCAATAGCTGTGTCAGGGTGATTTTGTTCCATAAAGGTTTGCAGTTCAATGCACTTTGCACACATTTCCCTAATCTTTGAAGAAGGCAACTTCCTTGATTTCTCCCTCCCCTCCTCTCTAGCAATTTCCTCAGGTCTGCCCTCTTGCTGTTGCAGATGCTCTTGCAGCTCATCAGTGGTTAGTTCTTCATCATTCACCTCCACCAACTCTTCCACATCCTCCTCACTAACCTCCAACCCCATGGACTTCCCCAATGACACAATCGATTCCACAACTGGCATAGAGGCTCCTGAGGGTTAACCCTAAACCCTTCAAAATCCCTCTCTCCTACACATTCTGGCCACAGTTTCCTCCAAGCAGAGCTATAGGTTCTCTTAGTCACTCCCTCCCAAGCCTTACCTATAAGGTTTACACAACTGAGGATAGTAAAGTGATCTTTCCAAAACTCTCTTAGGGTCAATGCAGTGTCTGAGATCACTTCAAAGCACTTTTGAAACATAGCTTTTGTGTAGAGCTTTTTGAAGTTGGAAATGACCTGCTGGTCCATGAGCTGGAGGAGAGGAGTGATATTAGGAGGCTAGAACTTGACTTTGATAAAACTCAAGTCCCCCGAAATTCACTCTGCCAAGTCTGAAGTATGACTAGGAGCATTGTCTAATACCATGAGGCACTTAAGGTCCAGTTTATTTTCCAGGAGGTAATTTTTTACAGTGGGGGCAAACACATGGTGTAACCAGTCATAGAAAAAGCCCCTAGTGACCCATGCCTTACTGTTTGCCCTCCACAGCACACACAAATTAGCTTTGAGAACATTGTTTTTCCTGAACACTCTGGGAGTTTCATTGTGATACACGAGTATTGTGATACACGAGATTGCAGAGTAAAGCAGAGGCTTTACTCTGCAATCTCCACTAGCATTACTGCACAACAAAAGAGTAAGCCTGTCTTTCATAGGCTTGTGTCCTGGGAGGGCTTTTTCCTCCTGTGTAATGTAGGTCCTGTTTAGCATTTTCTTCCAAAACAGGCCTGTTGCATCACAATTAAACACTTGTTCAGGTTTCAATCCTTCAGCCTCTATATACTCCTTGAATTCCTGCACATATTTTTCACCTGCTTTTTGGTCTGAACTGGCAGCCTCACCATGCCTTATCACACTATGTATGCCACTATGATTCTTAAATCTCTCAAACCAACCTTTGCTGGCCTTAAATTCACTCACATCACCACTAGTTGTAGGCATTTTTCTAATTAAATTGTCATGCAACTGCCTTGCCTTTTCACATATGATTGCTTGAGAGATGCTATCTCCTGATATCTGTTTTTCGTTTATCCACACCAATAACAGTCTCTCAACATCTTCGAGCACTTGCGATCCGTGTTTCGTTAAGATACTTGCACCTTTTGCAACAACAGCTGCCTTGATTGCCTGTTTGTTGGCCAAGATAGTAGAGATGGTTGTTTGTGGTTTGTTGCACAACCTGGGCAGCTCAGAGGCACTCACTCCACTTTCGTATTTATTAACTATCTCCTTCTTCATTTCAATAGTAATTTTCACCCTTTTTACCATTGGGTTGGCACTAGAAGCTTTCTTTGGGCCAATGGTGGCTTATTTAGCAGTTAGAAGCACTAAAACCACTGGATTAATACAAAATGTTTCAAATGTATGCATGGGAGCGACCGCACTGACTTGTAAACAATGGTACACTAATTTAAGGCAGGCCAGCTGAGGAGCGCTCAGACCAGACAGACATGTGGACGCGTACCGGACGAATGCTGTAAGTCAAGTTTTTCAACGTATGTCAGGGTCAAATTTTTATGCTGAGAAGCATCGCAGGTCGGTTTTAATGTAGGTTGGGGGCATCATAGGTTGGGGTCCACTGTATAGTTGAAAATAGTCAAACTCTGTAGACTCATTTGTGATGGGACATTCTGGCATGATGCCACTTCCACTGGCATCAAAATTGAAAGGATGTTGCATGAATGGTGTACTGTACTTTCTGTCCAGTTCCATTCATCGGTCACGTGGTGCAGGGTGGACCTGTGGCATGGGGCATGGAGGAGCAGGAGGGATGGGAATGGAGGCAGCACATGGTTGAGAGGGTGCCAGGCGGTCCTTTGTCTTCTCACCCACTGCGCCACGAGGAAGAGGAGGTGCCACCCACCTCCTCTTCCTCCATCCCAGCATATTCACCTTCATGATTAGTATCACTATCATTGGCTGCTGGGGTTTTGGATCATGACCTGCCACAACCCCTGCCGACTGCATGTGGCACACTGCCTGAATGTAGGCGACAATGCCTAAAAGTATGTTTCACTGGGGAATAATGAATATCACTTTAATTCAACAAATCCTCTATGGGCATAAAATCGATTTCATTGTCACTTATATCACTTTCACTATCGTCAACTCCATAACGCAGGGAAAATGATAATTTCCTCTTGCATAGTTGTCTTTGGGTAGTAACACTAGCAACCCCAGAGGTGCTGGGCTGAGGGTCTTGTATGGCCACACTGTCCACACTGGCCACCTGAGAGGTGATGGGCTGAGGATCATCTGGGTTGTCATCAATAATTTTACTAATTCCTTGATCATTAGTGGCCATATCGGTGTCAGATCCACTAAACTCACGTTCTGTATCGCTTTGCAAGAATAGGAGTGTGTTAATATGATGCCTGAGTGAATCACAGGGGCTTTCCATGATGTTGACCCAAGATGTAGCTGAAACTATCTGGTGCTACCACGTGGTACCCCGGCGTCCCCAATTTTTTTCATGCTGTGCACACTGAGTGTGCAGACCCAGTCTCTCATGTCTAGGCAGCTCAGGCCTATTGCACCAAATTTGAAGGCATGAAAAATAAAACTAAATCAACATTCAGAGCACTAGCAGTACAAACATATATCTACATTTGGACAGTTGAAGGGTTAATTATCATGTCAAACAAAATCTGTGCCAAGCCCCAGCCATCTCACACCTACCGTAACTTAATTGACTGACCTCTCTCAATTGGGCTGTTTGAACTGTGCATAAATATACATGAGTATACTTACTAGGGTGTATAGATTGTCTGCTGTATCTTGACTGAGGTGTCTTGGTGTGGCCTGCTTACAGGTGCTAGACTTACAGCTGGCCCAAGGGCAAGATTAGCAAAGCCTGAGTGTTTATGATTGCATAGTTTCTAACTCTGGTACAGCTAATACTGACTTACCTATGTGAGGGGTTTATACAGTGGACCCCCAGTTAACGATATTTTTTCACTCCAGAAGTATGTTCAGGTGCCAGTACTGACCGAATTTGTTCCCATAAGGAATATTGTGAAGTAGATTAGTCCATTTCAGACCCCCAAACATACACGTACAAACGCACGTACATAAATACACTTACATAATTGGTCGCATTCGGAGGTGATCGTTATGCGGGGGTCCACTGTACTGTGAAAATCAGCAAGGGTGCCCCCCTGGTATATGTGTGGATGTAGAGATTCCTTCTAGGTACAGTGGAACCTCAGATATCGAACTTTCTTCGTTCCAGATGGCTGTTCGAGTGGCGTTACCGAACGAATATATTCCCATCAGGAATAATGTAAATTAGATTAGTTCATTTCAGACCCTCAAAAATACACTTATGAAAGCACTTATAAAAACACACATAATTGGTAGAGTTGGGAGCAGTTCGATATTTGAGGTTCCACTGTAGTAAGTTGGTTGATAGCAGTTGCTCAGAGAGGTACTACCGTCCTGCCAAGTGAGTGTAAAAAGCATGCCTGTAATTGTTTTACATGATGGTAGGATTGCTGGTGTCTTTTTTCTGTCTCATAAACATGGAAGATTTCAGGTATGTCTTGCTACCTCTACTTACACTTAGGTCACACTACACATACGTGCACAGTGGAACCTTGGCTTACGAGTTTAATCCATTCCGTGACCTAGCTCGTAACCTGATCTACTCGTATGCCGAGTCAATTTTCCTCATTTAACCCTTTCAGGGTCCAAGGCCAAAATCTGAAGGGGTGCCCCAGTGTCCAAGAAATTTTGAAAAAAAAAAAAAAAAAAATTCTCAGTTTAAAAACTGTAGTGTAAAGCACCCTTCTGGCAAGACAGTGATGGAGTGAATGATGGTGAAAGTTTTTCTTTTTCGGGCCACCCTGCCTTGGTGGGAATCGGCCGGTGTGATAATAAAAAATAAAATTTTTGTGAAGGTAATAAAACAAAAAAAAAAAGTTTTTCTGATCAGTACTTACCGAGATACAGTGGTGGGAAGTTGATCCAAAATGTCCGGTGGCGGCAACATCAGTGACTTCCGCAAAATCCCATTTTTTTTATTTTACGTTTTTTATACTTTTTTCTTTTCTTTCCTAATTTTTTCTTTTTCTAGTAACATTTGTGGCCTGTGAGACCAATATAATGTATATTGTATAAGTTTACACTCATTGTATTCAACACAATACCTGCACTAATTTGTTTATCATTATATTGCTTTCAAAACTTGTTTACAAGTTTATTGTAAACAAAATGATGAAAATATTAGTGCAGTTATTGTGTTGAATACAACGGTACCATATAGTACCGTATGGTACAGTGGTGCCATAGGGTGCAATGGTACCATATAGTACAATTGTACCATATGGTTCAATGGTACCATATGGTATAATATGGTATAATGGCACATAATACAGTGGTACCATATGGTAGAATATGGTACAATGGCACCATTTGGTACAATGGTTCCATATGATACAGTGGTACCATATGGTGCAATGGTACCTTGTGGTACCATATGGTGCAATTCAATTAAATTAAATTCAAGTTTATTCTCTAAAAGGGTTACAATGTGGGGCTTACAGGTTTTGGGTATTGTGTGGTTTACAAGTTATAAAATACTAATTACAGAGGGGGCCACTAGGACACTTAGCATGGCTAGGCATTTCGAGCAGACTTAGATTAATTCTTAACATTAAATCCTTACAGATTATGGTATTAAGGTTAAGTGACTACATCATAATTTGTGAGTTTAGCAATGTGAATGCTTTTGTTTTGGCACAATACAAGGTGTCTATATTGAAGTATCTTAGGCAAACTTATGACTAGTTAGGATTTATTATTTTAAGATTAAGATTAGTATTTCTGGGTTTATAGTCAGTGGGTGAGTGAGTGTAATTGTGAACCACCGGATGGTTATCATGTAGTTAGTTGTCAGGGTGGATCAGGGAGATAAGATGTTTTCTAACTGTAGTTTTGAAAGTGATGAATGTGTCTGCAGTTCTAGAGTTTTCAGGTAGGGTGTTCCAGATTTTAGGTCCTTTGAAATACATTCAATTTTTGTAAAGGTTTAGTCGAACACGGGGAATGTCATAGAGATGTTTGTGTCTGGTGTTATGCCTGTGGATCCTGTCACAACTATCAAGAAAGTATTTTAGGTCAAGGTTAATATTGGAATTTAAGGTCATGTAGATATAGATTGCACAGTAGTAAGTGTGGATGTTCTGAACAGGGAGCAAGTTTAGATCTATGAAGAGTGGGGGGGGGGTGTTTGCCAGGGATGGGATTTAGTGATTATTCTTACTGCGGCTTTTTGTTGAGTTATTATTGGCTTTAGGTGTGTTGCTGCAGTTGAACCCCAAGCACAGATAGCATAGGTGAGGTATGGATATATAAGTGAATGGTATAGTGTGAGAAGGGCAGTTTGTGGCATGTAGTATCGTATCTTGGAGAAGATCCCCACCGTTTTGGATACTTTTTTTGTTATGTGTTGGATATGGGTGCTGAAATTTAGGTTCTTGTCGAGGTATAGGCCAAGGAATTTGCCCTCATTATGTCTGGCAATTAGAATGTTGTCAATCTTAATGTTAAGTTGCACAATACCTGCTCTGCTACCAAACATAATATAGTAGGTTTTGCCAGTGTTAAGTGTAAGTTTATTGGCTGTCATCCAAGTCGATATTTTGAGCAGCTCCTCGTTAACAATGGTGTTGAGGGTGGCAAGATTAGGGCAAGAGATGACATAAGTCGTGTCGTCAGCAAAGAGAATGGGTTTTAGGTGTTGGGATATGTTTGGAAGATCATTGATGTAAATGAGGAAGAGCAGGAGTCCAAGGACACTTCCCTGCGGAACTCCAGTATCAAGTGGCCGTATTGATGAGGCTGTGTCTTTAATGGTGACATACTGATACCTATTAGAAAGGTAGGATTTAAAATATGCAAGCGCATGGCCTCTTATACCATAGTGGTCAAGTTTGTGGAGTAGGATGCCGTGGTCTACTGTGTCAAAAGCTTTTCTTAGGTCAATAAAAATTCCTAGCGGATATTCTTTATTTTCCAATTCTGTGTAAAGCAGGTCTAGCATTTTTAAAATTGCATCATTAGTGCTTTTATTTTTCCTGAATCCAAATTGGCAGGGGTTGAGTATGTTTTGTGACGTTATAAATGAATATAGTCTCCTGTGCACGAGTGTCTCGAAGATTTTGGATAGCAATGGTAAGTTTGATATTGGCCTATAGTTGTTTACATCTGTAGGGTCGCCACCTTTATGTATTGGTGTAACCCTTGCTGTCTTGAGTAGTATCGGGAAAGTGCTAGTTTCTAGTGACTTGTTAAAAAGTAATGTAATAGCATGCGAAAGGACATGGGCCGCTCGCTTGTACAATAATGGTGGGACGTGAGACAGATTCTCCGAGTTATTTTTAAGTGACTTTATGATCACGGTGACTTCTGTGGGCTCAGTTGGTACAAGATTGAAGGAATTTGGGAAATTCCCATCTAGGTAGTCCCCGGCACGGGCATTGGTACGTGGGATTTTACTGGCGAGATTAGATCTTATGTTTGGGAAGAAGTTGTTTATCTTGTTAGCTGTATCAGTGGGATGCAGTGGTGTTTCATGAGGTTTAGTTAGAACAATATTCTTGTTTTTTTTCAGTTTGTGGATCCCCAGAATATGGGAAAGTGTTTTCCAGGTCTTTTTTATATCTCCTCTTGTGTCAGTGAATCTGCTGGAGTAGTACAGTTGTTTGGCTTTCTTTATTAATTTGGTGAGAACTGTTGAATATTGTTTAAGAATATCTTTGTGTATTAAGCCCTGTCTATATTGCTTTTCATATTGGTGTTTCTTATCAATGGATTTCAGAATGCTGCTGGTTAGCCATGGGCAACCAAGCCGTTTATTCGTGATCTGTTTCGTTTTTATAGGACAATGTTTGTTGTATAT